CCGCTTGGAAGACATAATGTAGATAAATGATGGATTTCAGATCTTTGAATGAAAGTAAATGGTATTATCCTTTTCACCTCGCTTCTTATTCAAGTAATGTTAAAAGTTGCCAGTAAAGGAATTTATCTTATTGTTTATTGTTCCCATGTTGGATCCTTATTGACAGATTTTAGGTACTGATTGTACCTGAAGCTATTGTTATGGACATGCTAAAAAAGAAGAAACAGAGGGGACAAGTAATTGATCTAGTAATTTCATGGTTGTGTTTTTACTTTAGGGCGTTATAGTCATTTTACACATTTTAGAGAAAAAAACAGCAAATAAGATAAAAGCATATACACATTTCAGAGAAGAAAACAACAATGGTGCAACCCAAGCATAAGCATATTGTGCAAAACTTTTTTATTGTGTTGTTGGGCTTTGTTTATCTGTTTCTTTTATATTGTTATAAAAAAATTATTCCCTATTAATTATTGGTTATTATCTACTGATTAGTCGTTGTCAGATTGTTCGACTTTCTTTCTTTTTTTCTTTTAACTGTTTGTATGATCTCTATTCTAATAGATGAATAGTTATGATGTAAAGTAAGTTTGTGCAAGTTCTCTATTTAATCATGTAATATCTAGCATCTTAGGTTTGGTGTGACATGTTTCAATTTGTGTACACATGCAGCATGACTAAAGGAGGTATTTCTCAATGTTGTCCCCTTGAAGATTCTAAGAGAGAAGAATTTAACAAATGTCAGTTGGTTTGATCCGTTATTATTCAGTAAGTTAGAATTGTATTTTTTTGTTGTGTGTTAAACTGTAAATCAAATTATGCTTGCTTTTTTTAACTTCCGTAACTATGTTGTCATTATGTGTGAATTGATCTTCAGGAACTGACAAAGCTTTCTTGAAAATTTAAATGATTAAGGTTTTTCCTTTTTATCATCCCATCCATTCTCCTTCATAAGTTTCTATTGATCACATGTTTGTAACTATTGTTTTATGTTAATTTTTAATATTTCAATTTTTTTTTACGGATAAACTAATTTATAAAGTTCCATGTGGTCTATTGTAGTTTCTGAAACATCAATTCTTGTAAATCCTTCAAAGTCAACAATGAATATATAAAAAAGGTATGAATTTCTTTACTTATAAAATTTTGTAGAAAATAGCAATATATTTTAATGAGCATGATAGTGATTTACTGATTGTAGTTTATAACAAATAGGAAGCAAATTATTAAGAAAATAACACATAATATAGAGTCATTATCAAATTTATTAAGAAACAATCAATGTAAACCAAGAAACTCGCAAATCCATCAAATCTCTTACCAAAAAAATTAAAATCTCTTAAAAACCATAGCAAAAAATTTAAAAACTGATTATTGTTCTTAAAAGGTAGGTGACGAATCACTTTTCCAACTTAACTTTGACAAGTTTGTGTTGCCCACCTTCCCCTCCTCCTTTGGCTTTCATAGTCTTTGATGATGACATGTTGTCATTGACATCCAAAAAAAAAAATCATCCTCAAGAGCTCGCTTCAAACTTTTTGTTTCATTTAAATTTTTTTTGGGCTTGTGGTTGTCGATTTGAAAACATTCATTGGTGTCACATTATCATCAGTATGAGATATGGTATCCTAAAATTACAAAACAAAAAAAGTAATATTAGAGGTTATTAAAGTTAAAGATAATACTAACATGAGATATTTAGATTACTTATAATACACCTTTATAAATATGTTATCTTGAGATTCACAATCAGTGGTACCATGTTCAAATGATTGTGAATTAACTTCCTGTTCAAAAAAGAAATGAATAATTAATAAACCTGTTTATTAGTATATTATATTTTGGAAAAAAAATCAATTATAATAACCTCTGCAACGACAAACTTTTTTTCCAACTCCTCAATCAATATCTCATCATCACTAATCCTGGAAATAGTATATTGATTGGTGTTCCTTTGCACATTGTATTTCGAAACAGAAACTATGAAAACCAATTTCATATCTTTCAACACATTAATATCTGACAGGTATGCGTTAGTACAAAAGCCAAGTTGCAAGTAAAAAATAAAAAGATGTAATTATATATATTACCAATAATTTATTTTTAAATAATAATCTGAAAGACATTCACCTTAGCTGTTTTTGCAACCAAATCTTTTGCAGAAATTTTTAGAAGCTTTTTCGCATCTTGTTCAAACATTGTTAAAGTCATACTTCTAGTATGATCTTGAACTCTTACCGGAATCATGAACCTTTTAAGAAATGTAAAATTATCAAAATTAGTCAACATGATGGGGAAATTACTATTATATTTTTCAAAATGTATTAACCTCGGAACTGTTAATGTTTCAGTTTTTGTGCATTTTGGATTTCGACATTCATATGTTTCATTTTTGAGTGATCCGGTGAGGCTGGTTCATTGGAAGGATTTTTTGGAACCGCCTTTGTATTGCAATTTGTACATGCCGGGTAATGCCAAGATGTGTGCTGAAGAATTCCTTTTATGGTCGCAACAATAACATACTTTTTTATCTGATTTTAAAAAATAAAATAATATTATAAGTAATGGATATTATAATTTAAACGCTGATATTGAAAATGTAATAAATAACGAAATTTGTTAATTACATAAATAATTTCTTAAAAACATAAATTAGAAAGATTGATAGAAATTTCAGAATTTTGTTACCTCAATTGGTTCGAAAATATCAGCGATTGTTTTCAGCTCATGATTAAGCACAAAATCATCCTCTTGTCAGAACTTCGATTAGATTTCATATAGGAGAAAGTACTGGATGAGTTTTCATGGGGACCATCTTGATTCAAACTGTTAATTAACCACATAGTTACATCATTTATAACATACATTGGCATTTATTATTAACATAAAAATAACATAAAGTAATATACCTTTTTTTGAAAACTTTTATCTCATCAATTTCAGTATTGATGATGAACTTTGTTACATCATAATATGTATTAACATATCGCCGATCTATAGAAAACAAAAAAATAAAGAAAGAAAGAAAATAGTCATTGCAATATGAATCATAATTAAAAAAAACATTATACCTTGCCCTTGAAAACTTTTATCTCATCAATTTCAGTATTGATGATGAACTTTGTTACATCATAATATGTATTAACATATCGCCGATCTATAGAAAACAAAAAAATAAAGAAAGAAAGAAAATAGTCATTGCAATATGAATCATAATTAAAAAAAACATTATACCTTGCCAGAGATTAATCTTTGCAAATTGAAGGATTATGACAATGCGAAGAATGTTTGGATTCTTTTGGATGTATTCATTCAATTTGTAACAATAATCTCCCCATAGGTTAACATCCAATTGAGAACCACTAACAAAAAAGATAGGAATTAGAAATAGCAAATAATTAATTTTTTTGATATTGCAATCAAAATAGTTAATATACACAATAATTATATTATTTTATTATAGGTAATAAAAACAAACTTTGACGTCTTGGATTTGTATTCTCATCTTATGCCTCTTTCTATCTTCATTTCGAGCATCAATTTCACCAATGGCGACCACCAAACCGATAACATCTATAAATCAACATTAATACAAAAAAAAAAAAAAACAGATTAAATTAAATTAACTTATTTAAAATATATATATATAATTTTTAGGTAAACAAAAAATACTAACCCAATGAAATATTTAGTGGAACAGTGCCGACGATAATGGGATGATACTCAATAAAAGAAAACCCATTAATTGATCCAGAAAAATCGAGACACGGAGCAACAGTAGTCTCACGAGTGAAGGTGAGCTTTTGCATTTGATCAGTTAATTGAAATTTTCCTTCATCCATCTTTGCCAAATTTGGATTTTTTATGAAAAAAACTTCCCCTTCTTTTAGAACTTTTCGAAACTTGTAAATGTAAGCATTGGGGACATAACCTTGGATCTTCTTACCCTAAATGATGATTTATGTTAACATGAAAAGTCAAGTTTGGTTATTAAATTAAAAAGTTAAAAAGAAAAACATGAATATAAACATGTAAATAATTAAAACCATATATAGTGGACCTGTTCGTCCATTAGAATAAGTTGAATGGCGAAAATTTCGTCTTTTTTATAATAATCTTCTAGTGTCCATAATCTGATAATACGAAGCTTCATAGTGAAGCTGTCCTTTAAGACATCAAGATCACGTATGAGAGTAAAATCACCAGAAGCCATGAATCTGTAAAATAGGGAGATATTATAAATACATGACAAAAAAAAAAGTAAAGAAAAATATTCCCTGTTTATCAAAATAAAAAACGAATGAAGTGAAACTTAAAGGTGAGTAACTATTATGTTTTACAGTGACATAATTGATAAAATTAAAGTTGAGTAACTATATATATACATGTAATATATAAAAATTTTATTATTATTATCATATATTTCTGTTTTTATTTAGATGACATGAATATAAAAAAATTATTTTGTTTTACAGTGACATAATTCATAAAATGTAATGACATAAGTTTACATGTATTATTATCAATTCAGAAAAAAGGAGGGTTGAAGTGAAGAATTTAGTGAGCAATAAAAATGTAGTTAGAGTGAGAAATAGCAATATAGTTACAACGACAAAGCTATGGAAGTGAACTATATACATTAAATAGCAATGCAGTCTAAATTTTTATTATTTGAATAGGTGTTTAAAAGATTTAAACAACATGTAATATACATAAAAGCTTAAAGAACAACAATATAGTAAAAAATATTTATGCAGATTACATATATGATGAATGTTTTAAAAAAAAAATTAGTGTCAATATGATTATTGTTTAAGAAAAAAAAAAGCACAATGGAAGTGAATAGTTTTGTATACTAAGCTGATGGATCGTTATGAATGTATATGCAGAGATGCAGAAGAAAAATACTCTAAAAGCTTTGAAGAGAGAAGTGAAGAAAACATTTTTCTTGATCGATCATTATACGTATTTATAGGTATAATGATAAAAGTATTTGTAATTTGAATAGCTGATTTGCAGGGATATGATATCTCGATATCTCTATATCTTTATAATAATCTCTATAATATCTTTATATCTCTATGATTTTTAAAGTAAAAAAGGAAAAAGTAAATCGAATATTTTTAATTGACAAAATTGTGGCAATGAATCATGGAATTAAAGAGATTTAAGAGGGGGATATTGGGATATCAATTGCTTTTTTTTAGGAATATTATATATGTAATTTTTAATATTGCGTATCTTTAAAATTTAAAATTTAAACGCAACAAAATTGTGGCAGTCAATCACGTAATTAAAGAGGTTTAAGAGAGGGAAAGTGATTTAATGATTTTGTTTACTGTATATTAGGGAATTAGGGATTAGGGATATTATATGTGGCTCTAATTGATTTGTTTACTGTACATTTAAAATTTAAATTTAAATTCAAATGCCGGTTATTTAGAGGGTTGATTAAACGTGATTTACTGATTTGTAGGAAGAAATTAATAAAATATAGTAATTAGTATTTAGTAATTGTAACAAATATTTGGAAGACATTATTGAGAGGGTTACACGTGGCAGTATACAAATTGTACACATGGCAGCATGGTATTGAAGTTATTTATTTATTAGAAAGGGATATATATATATATATATATATATATATATATATATATATATATATAGAGAGAGAGAGAGAGAGAGAGAGAGTTAGGTTCATATATAAACTTTATATATTGTGTGAATGTATGGTTAAATCTAGACCTATCATTTTATAAGGAAATTATAATAAATTCATTTATATTTTAATTAATAAGGTTACAACTATTTAAGGGTTAGATTAGCGGTTATAAACTACATCTCGTTCTTATGTTCATCCTTTTAACCCTATACCATTTTCATGTTTTTCTTTGATATTCATTACTACTAAGAAAAAAGGTTCTTTTGTTCGTAAATGAAACCAAATTTGATTGCAGAAATAAAATGTGTTCTTTTTCTTTAAAATCTTTGAAAGCTAAAAAGTTTTTATTTAGGTTAAAATCATTTGAGTGTGAATTTATTAAATCCTCTCAAACTTTGTTTTTTCTTCACTATAACCATATGATTTGAAGTGGTAAACATTAACGAATTTTTCAATGTTATTTGTTTTATCATTTTTTCTTCATGTTGAAAATTATGTCTTCCCTACTAATGTGATGAAGTTAAAATCTTCAAAAACATTAACTGGAATCCTAGAAAAAACAAAGGAACGTGTTATTTTTCTTAAACATGCCTACTCAACTGATTTTTCTTACACATGCAAATCAATGCGTTAAAAATCTACAAACTCATTTTTCCCAACATCTTCATTTCTTATATCATTAGAGGATAAAGAAACAGAAGGTTTTCAAGAACTTACACAAAAAACCTCACTACATAAAACCTATTCTACTCTCACAACAATACACTCAAATCCTAATCTACCAGATTATCAAATATGAGCAATCGAGACATAACAAACAGGAATACGAACAACGATCAGAAGAATATAACGTATCTAGTTCCCGATCTATGTAACCTGTAGAAAACCCTAACAAAGAAGCTTACAGAAGAACCTGTTTACAGAGAGAAGAATAAGACGCAAAAATCTTTCCCGAAACTAAACTCTTCCCACTCTCTCTCTGCTTTTATATCTCTCATGCATAAACCGGATCTAAAACCCGACCCAGTTAGGTCCGCGTCTTTTATTTTCTTTCACACCTGCACTTACTAATACAATATGTATATATATACGTATAAAAAATAAATATAAGATTGTACTCCAACTCATAATATTTTCAACATCCCCCCTCAATCGAAATATTTATTTTTCACTCTTAAAAACATCAACAACACCCATTTTCTTAATTAGAAAATCATGCTGTTTTACAGTTAAGGATTTTGTCAAAATATCTGCAGTTTGTTCAGAAGAACAAATTTTAACCATTTTTATCACTCCATTAGAAATTTTTTCTCTAATAAAATGTAAATCAATTTCAAAATGTTTTGTTCTCTCATGAAACACAGGGTTTAAAGCCAATTTAATAGTTGACTCATTATCACAAAAGACTGAAACAAGAGTTAAATCTTTAATTTCTAATTCAAACAAAATTTTTAAAATCCAAATTATTTCACAAGTAATAGACCCTAAAGCTCTATATTCAGCTTCAGTAGAGGATCTAGAAACAGTAGACTGTTTCTTACTTTTCCAGGAAATTAGACAATTATTAAAATAAACCAAATATCCAGACACTGATTTCCTTGTAATTAAACACTTAGCCCAGTCAGCATCTACATACCCTTTAAGCTCAAACTTATCAGATTTGGTTATAACTACTCCTCTTCCAGGACTGTTTTTTAAATATCTTAAAAGTCTAAAAGCAAGTTTAAGATGAGACCTTTTAGGTCTATGCATGAACTGACTAAGTACCTGGACAGCATATGAAATATCTGGCCTAGTAATTGTCAAATATATCAATTTACCAATAAGTTTCTGAAATTCAGTTTTATTACCTAACAGTGGATCTTCATTTTCATCAGCTTTTATCAAAAAATTTGCTTCCAATGGAGTATTTACAGGTTTACACCCAAGCATACCATACTCATGTAACAACTCTAAACAATATTTTCTTTGATTTAAACACAAACCATCATTAAATCTTATTACCTCAATTCCCAAAAAATATTTTAAAATTCCAAGATCTTTAATTAAGAATTGAGTTTTCATAAATTCCTTAACTTTTTGTAATTCACGCTCACAACTTCCAGTCAAAATAATATCATCTACATATACAAGCAAAACAGTTAATGACCCTTCAAATTTCCTTACAAATAATGAATAATCACTTATACTCTGCTTAAAACCAAATATAAACAGGGAAGAACAGAGTTTTTCATTCCACTTTCTAGGAGCTTGTTTTAAACCATACAAAGATTTTGTAAGTTTACAAACTCTAGAATCACCAACAGAAAAATAACCAGGAGGTAGAGACATATAAACATCTTCAGTTAAGTCACCATATAAGAATGCATTATTAATATCTAATTGATACAAAGGCCAAGAATTTTGTACAGATAGTGAAACAATTACTCTAACAGTCACAATTTTTGCAACAGGAGAGAAAGTTTCTTCAAAATCAATTCCTTCCCTTTGATTATATCCTTTAGCTACTAAACGAGCCTTATACCTTTCTACTTCACCATTAGACTTGTATTTAATTTTAAATACCCACTTACAACCTATTGGTTTTCTGTTCTTAGGTAAACATGTAATTTCCCAGGTATTATTTCTATGGAGAGCTTCCATCTCTTCATTCATAGCTTTAACCCAATTCGGATCAGTTAAAGCTTCCTTATAATCTTTAGGCTCAACAGTTTTATTTAAATTTGAAATAAAACATTTAGTATTATTGTCTAAAGAAGAATAATTAACAGTCCTTTCTATTCCATATTTATATTTGCCTTCAACAACATAATCTGAAAACTTAACAGGCATATGAGACTCACGTCTAGACCTAGAAGACCCTAAAGACTGTTCAACAGAAGGGATTAAAGTTAACTGACTACTTTCCTCAGAAATGTTAGAAGAAGAAGGAACAAAATCACCAGAAGGAGGCACAACTGCCTCGCCACTACGATTAATATCATTATCAGAAATGATATCATCCAGGTGAATGGCTGCATCAGTACCATCCAGTTGTGATTCTACTCTCAGCTCATCAAGATTAATGGAATCATTTAAGTATTCATTAGTATCAAACTCATCATAGGAAAATGGATCATTAGGGCCAAAATCAGAAAAAATTTTGTCAACATTAGTTGACTTCAGTTTAAATGGAAAAACAGATTCATAAAATTTCACATCCCTGGACATAAAAGAAGTATTAGTATCAAGACTCAGAAGTTTATAAGCTTTTTTATCAGAAGAATAACCTAATAAAACACATTTTTCAGCACGTTCAGAAAACTTATCAGAAACATTTTGTTTAACAGCAAAACAAAGACAGCCAAAAACTCTCAAATAATCAAACACAGGTGTTCTTTTATAAACAAATTCATAAGGAGATAATCCATTTAAAACTGATGAAGGCATTCTATTTATTAAAAAAACTGCAGTTAACACAGCATCTCCCCAATATTTTACAGGAACAGCTGACTGAAACAAAAGTGACCTTGCAACATTAAGAATGTGTATGTGCTTCCTTTCCACAACTC